TTGTCTCCTCCTCACAGTCCTTGTTCAGTGCACAGGTGACATGATATGGAGGAGGAATAGTGTGTGGGAGTCCTCTGATATAGGTCCTGATTATACTCTTTTTTTCTAGACCAAAGTCACTTTCTCTGTGTTTCTCTCACTTCCAGGGTCCTGGGCCCAGTCTGTGCTGACTCAGCAGCCCTCACTTTCTGGGACTCCAGGACAGAGGGTCACCATCTCCTGCACTGGAAGCAGCAACAATATTGGCGGCAGCGGTAATTATGTGAACTGGTACCAACAGCTCCCAGAAACGGCTCCCAAACTCCTCATCTATGGTAATAGTAATCAACTCTCAGGGGTCCCTGATCGCTTCTCTGGCTCCAAGTCTGGCAACTCTGCTTCACTGACCATCACTGGACTCCAGCCTGAGGATGAGGCTGTCTATCACTGTCAGTCTTATGATGACAGCCTCAGTGCTCGCACAGTGCTCCAGGCTCATGGGGAAGTAATACAAGAACCCTTTACCATCTGTCAGGAGGGCAAACACACAGCAGCTTTGCTCAGGCCTGGTATCTGGCTTTTTCTGCTACCACTACTGTAAGCCCAGCTGAATCTACTGGCACCCTTTTGAGTGAGAAGATTCTTGTCCTCTGTACTCAGAATCATTCACAGCTGCATGTTTCTAGGAAAATGCATCCATAGAAACAGAAATCCTTGCTTCTCATTAGCTTAGGAGATGAACAGAATGCTGTTGTCTCTTTGCTTTGAAGGTCAGCTGATGAGGCAGCCAGTGCATTCCTTGTCTTCACAGAGTTCACATCTGATGGGGAATCCTGTGGTTCCACACTCCATTTTTCTTATTTCCATTTATTCTAGAACTGTGTCTTCTTCTCCTTATGGCCTCATTGTGTATAAATGTGATTCATGTTTTAGCCTAATTTTATATAAGTTTTCTAACAGGCATTATTTGAAAGACAATAAATGCACATAATTGAAAACAGAGATTTTGAGATAGTGTCCCACCTTTGGGAACATCAAGACAGTTAGGTCAAGGAATCTGTCTACCAGCCCACAAGCCTACTTTAAACTTTCAGAATCCTCCCTCCATCCCTGCTCACAGAACCTCCCATGAAATCACTGACTTTATTTCTGTGATTATTAGTCAGGTTTTCTCATATATTTAAAAACAACAGAGGATTTTTTTTTTCTTGAATGACCTTTTCAATTTTATAAATACCTTTTGAGACCCTTTCACATTTAGTTGAAATTTCATTGATTCTGCTGGGGACATATCATGACCTTTATGGTCTCTGGATATTGCTGTGTTGATGCACACTTTTTTATGATCATGTGTGTGTTAATTTTATTTTATAACTTTGTAAATATAGAGAGCAATATAATGTAGCCTTCATTGTATTGATTGCATTATTGRCCTCCTGATATAAGAACTTTCCTCAAAAATTGATAGGAACCAATCAGAAATCCTATTCCTTTGTTATCTATTCACTGGACTCAGCATCTCCTCATGGGGCCTGTGGACATGTCTACCCAGGCCCTTACCCTCCTCACTTAGTAGAAAAACTGTCCTATTTCAAGGCTTGTGGTGGAACTGAGATAAAAGGCAAAAGGGCTGACATGCTTGAGTTTCAGGGAGTTACTTGCAAGTAGAAGGCAATTAGGGGATCAAGTTTCCTGCCTTGTGTGCTCACTCAGAGTTTTGAAAGTGTCTCTTACATTGTCAGAATCTTTGCAAGGAGCTCTGCAACTATAACACGTTTCCTGGAGCCCATCTGATGACAATAATACTACTAGGAAAATTGTGGTTTCTCCATATACTGATAATAATAGCTAACACATAAGGGAGGTTCAGGACAGGGACAGGCAGTGAAGGTGTGTATTTCTAGCTGCATCCAGGATACAAAAGTTATTTTGGTCCATGTCCTGCCTGAGGAGCCTCCAAATCAGGTTTCTGAAGTCCAGTTAGTTAAGTAAGAAATAAGCACCTTTCATGTTTCCTTCTTAATCTCATGTCAGTTGAGATTTCCAGTAGTTAACCAGTGTCTGACAAACAGTTCATCTTACAAGGACACATGCTGTGACATCTTGAAAGGCATAGATGGCAAGAGCTTGACCTGAAACACTTCTCCTTAGATACTTTCATGGAATAAAAGTGGATTCCGGTAGTTGCATCTAAGAGACAAAACACATAAAAAATCCAGGTGGTCTGAATGCCACCATGTTTGCTRTATTTATATGTTTTTATTTCCTTTAAAAGCTACAGAAGGAAATTCAAGGAACATGCATAGGAGCCCAGATTGTCCCTTGCAGATATAGGGGACAATAATAAATGTTTGAACATTCAAAAAGAAAGRGGTCTTTCACTATGAGGTTGGTAGGGTGTGACAGAATTAGCTGCATCTAGAGCTTGCTCTGTACAACAACTAGTTGGAGAAAGAAAGCCAAATGAGGAGCACCCCAACCTCCTGTGTACATAAGAGAAATATTAGAGAAGATAGGTAGCTAGGAAAACTTGATATCTGGCCATGAGAACCACCAGAGGGTCATTCTCTCAATTCAACAGTAGGTCTATTTATTGTGAGCTGCTTTCGTGATCCATTGGTTAGCATTCAGCTCTCTCACTGCCTTGGCCCAAGTTAGATTTCTGGTCAGTGAAATGTTCCTTTTGCCATCTGTGGTGGTGCATGCCTGTAATCCCAGATACTCAGAAAGCTGAGACAGCAAGTTGAAGGCAAACTTCAACAACTGAGGTACAACTTGCCTCAAAAACAAACAAAATAAAACAAAAAACAATGAAATATCACAGAGAAGGCATTCATTGTAATATTTAACTTGGGACATTGAAGATGTTTCTGATTCTCAATGGTTATGAACATTGCTTTGGTTAGCAGCTTAAAGGGTTTCCAGGAATTGGGTGGATATAGGACTCTGCATCACATGTGTGCACAAATAGTGTCATGGTTAACAAATTTCCATTTCCTTTTCAGTGCCAGACACAATTCTCTGCCTCCTTGAAGAATTCCTTGGCTCAGGCTTCACTTTGCCTGATAAAGTAGAATCAGGGGAGGCCTGTGGTACATTTGGACAGTAGCATGATAAATTGAATAGCTACTGACCTCCTTCTCCCCTGAATGTTTCCTTCCGCATGCTGACAAGAATTATCCCACAAGTGATTGAGTTAGTAACAGAATGAAAATAAAYACATGAAGAGAATCACCATTCATCACATACAGTGCAAAAGGTGTGTGAGCAAGAATTTTCCCATGTTACTTCATATCACAGAGTTGCAATTGTGTTTATCCAGAATGACAAAAACTATCTGGTCCAATAACAAAGTAAAATTGCTAAGTCTATGCATCTCAATGCTAACAGATACTGTTTTCAGTGGGTGACTGAATTAGTATAAGYTCCACTTGCTCCACAGCAGGTTGATTGGCAAGATTAATTAGTAGAGGAAGATGTAAGCAGACAACTGGAAAACTGCTCACCCTGAWTATCCATGTGGGAAACAGTGTCCTAACTTATGTGAGGCTCTTCTAAGACCGTCACCCACAGTAGAATCTGGTCTTAAGAATATTCTTCTCAATTAAAAGTGGATTCATTGGCAGAGTAGATTGTATGTTAGGCCACAAAACAAGTCTTTAGAAATTGAAGAGAAAGGAGTAATTCTAATMTTATTCTAAGAGGCCAGTTGTTCTTTCCTGGAAGTTTCACTGACATTGATATATCTACTATAAATAATTGTGCTATCATGCATACATCACTCTTAGTCAGGAATGCCCTAAAWGCTGGGAGTGGTGGTTCACACCTGCAAATCCARCAGCTTGGGAGACTGAAGCTGTAGGATCACAAGTGCAAAGCCAGCCTCAGCAACACTGAAAGGTCCTAATCAACTTTTCATGACTCTTTCTCTAAAATAAAAAGGGGCTGGGGATGATGCTTAGTGAGTAAGACCCTCTGGGTTCAGTTCCTGACACACAAAAAGCAAAACAGAAAAAATAGAAAATTCATCCTGAGCTTTGTGTATTTTTGAGTAGTGTGGTCATGTAGACCTGGTTGACCATGTGCATAATTGACTTTATCTCAACTCAGGTAGTTTTTWAAAAAAATAAAATTGTCAAGAAAATATGCTCTAAATTGAAGCATTTCCTCTTTCTTTTTTCTTTTTGACCTTTTTTCTGGTCTAAACTTTAGCTCCAGGGAATTCTTCCAAAATGCATGTCACAACCTGGGCATGTCTCATTCTTCTCTTTACTCAGTCTAGTAATATATATATATATATATATATATATATATATATATATATATATATTAGATATACCTAAGACTTTATTGCCAGAGTTTAGGGACAGATTTTCCTTCTGGAATTCCTATATGGTAAATTTCTTTTTAGTAATATATATATATATATATATATATATATATATATATATATATATATTAGATATATCTAAAATCATTTTCAACTTAAGCCTTCTCTACATCCAATGAGAATCTTAAAATCAATAACCCTATCAGCAAGTTTGATCATAAAAACAATTTCTTTACACATTGAAAACACTCATGAGTGATGTTCCATCTTTGTTAATTTTTCTATTGATAACTTCCACTTATGAAAGAATGAACTGGATCCTTGGAGGGAGAAATTAGAATAGAGGAAGTAGATCCAAGAGACAGAGAAAATGAGAGCATGGGCAGGTACTGTGGAATGGCATCAAACAAAAGATCGTATTATGTGCAAGGACCAACATATCACAGTAAATTCCAATTTTATTAATTATTTTATTGCACCAATTAATTAAAAACAGGAATGATACCAGTTGAGTAGAGAAACAAGCTTTGGGGAGGGTGAGTGGAAGGAAAGGGAGAATACTGGGGAATGAAAATTGATAAAATTATGTTTCCTGTATGTATGAATATGGGTTTGGTTAATCTGATGATTAACATACAGTCATAATAAAACAATGAAGCATTATACAAAATGAACACAAGTATGTTATCATAAAGAAAACTCAGATAAAATTAAGATCATGCAAAACTAAAATCAAATTGTACAGAACTGGGAATGATTTCAACAAAGAGACAAAAACAGATAAATAGATATAAACAGGGATGCTCAAAGAAAACTCAAATAATGAATGTGAGACAATCTTGAAAATATAGTGGAAATGCCATACAAACAATTCAACACTTCTTTATCCAATGAGACCTTGTAGCTTAAGACCAAAAGGTCGCCATGGGGCACTATGTATATTTGTAGAAAACTGGTAGAAACTCAAGTGGTTCAGCTTTATTGGATCATGAAAATTTGCTCAGAGGACCATGCACAGTGCTAAAGCAGSTGCTTCCTCCCAAGGGGAAAATCCACAACACACAGCCACCCTAGGTTTACCTCTGAAAATGTAAGTGCTCTGGAAGTTGATGTTAAATGTCTCATTTTTATTTAAGACACCACACAAATATGTCTCCTTCAGCAGGCAATTCAGTAATAAATTATGGGCCATCAGGAAGTCTGGTCTAAACCTTAAGGCCAGGAAATCCTTCACAAATGCATACCAAAGCCTGGGCATGTCACCTTCTCCT